GTACAAGGGTATCATGACAGCTCGATTTCACTTGTTCCATTGTTTGAAAAAAAAAAAGATAAAAATCTGATATCTCCCATTCCTTCACATATCTTTTTCTTCCCCAACATACCCTTTACCAGCTTGTCAAAAAAGTTACACTTCGGGAAAGACGAGCCCAGCAGGCGTGCCACGACTCACATCACGACATTTGCTCCGCAGTTCATCTTGACACAGTGTGATAGAAAGGAAGGGTCTTCACTGAATAGAGAGCGCAAGAACATGACCTCATTGTGCTACAATTCATACACCTGTCACTTTATTGAAGGCCACACACAGGACATGCTTTAATAAACACATTTTGGAGATGCAGGCATGGATTTTTTGCCAACACAGCCACCCTGTGCATCCCGCGACGGAAGGGCGACGGTCCGACCGACGCAATCGTCGACCCAAAGAGGTTGTGGAGCGCCGCGACAACACGAGCTGGTAACTGTGACATAAAACTCCGTGCCCCGAGTGCATCCAGCATTGGCAATGGATCAAACGACAGTGGCACGATTGCTATTCCTAGACACCATACGCAGCTCATGGATTTCAAAATGGGACAGGCAGCACCCATCGGCTGAATAATAATAAAATTGAGGCCACCTGGGCTGCTTAAAAGCAGGTTCAGATTCATTATGGTATGTATATTCTCTGGCTATTGAATAAGCGGGGATGTTGTTTCAACAAGAAAATTGTGCTACGCAGAAAAGAGCCACGTGTGAAAATACAAGCTCTCGTCGTTGCATTTCAGAGCGGACACGACCCACGCCGCCGTTTCTTTCGGACACAAGCAATGACAGATGGCAATTCGGGAGGGAACATGAAAAATAAAATGATTACTTCATTGACACAATATCACAAGCCATGTTAAAGAACGCTAGTCCTACGCCTCCAAGTGGAGGATCCGAATAGAACATGACTGAAATGTCATTGAGTTGTATGCTCACATAAAGAAGAGATGCGATGGGAAATGGGAAATAACGCATGGAAGACGCGATGCAGATGATGGTGACGATGACGACGCGAACGGACACTGTCGAGCCGATCCGATCGCTACCGGTGACTGGATTCGAATCCTTTAGAACCATCAGGTCCTCTGGGTGAGCGCAAAATGGACACACCAGGAGAAGTAGTTTCTTTTGCCTTCGACCGCAGGAGTTCCACACGAGTGGCCAGACCGTCGCCGCTCTGGAAACGTCTACGCAGAAGCGAAATTCGGGGACTTTAGCCTATAGGACTCAAAATCACAGCAGACAGATCAAGAAACCTTTTCGGGCACCTGTCGTCGGCTGCGACGTCCAAGGATTCGGAATTCTTCGATTCCCCGAAGATCCTGGACCTTGCTTCGGCATACTTCACCTCCCTCTGTGTGGCAAAAATATAAGGAATAATTAACGAGTTCAATTAACTCACTCTAAATTGAGTAATGACAAGCAAAGATTTTTTTCTCAAAAGGAGGAACTACTTGCAGTTACCAATCATGTCAGACATCAGCCTTATACTTTTTATTTCACTTGAAGTAAGCATCATAAAATCATTAATATTGCTTTTGCACAACCCATGGCTCATTTTTGACAGTCATACTATCTTCAGTGAACTTTCCTTTGCCAATTGGGCCAATTGGAGAGATAGGCAGGCATGAGCAAGTCAAGCCCATAAAACCCAAAATAAGTGATCTATAGTAATGGAGGACAGGATCACTTGCAGCAATTCTGGTATCAATAAAAGAAAAATTCCATGAAGGAAATTTTAAAAATTGAGTTGCTAGTACTAGAAACATCTACATTATTTCTTGCAAAGAATTGTAACCAAATAGAGTAGAACAAAATCCAAACACCATGAATGTACATTCAAATGCACAATTGATTCCTTTGGTTCATCATGCTTGGGCCTTTGCCATTGTACCCTTTCTCTATGATTGAAAAATATTAATTAAATGGCACATAAAATCCTGACACAGTCACTTGTCAAGCCCGGATATAACCACGGCAAGCTACACCAAGAAAATGTCGTGCACAACATGCCTATGACAGACTCATAGGACCAAGCTAGGCCTATCTCATGCTTCACCTCTTTTCGGGACTGAACCATCTCCTGTAATCTCCCGTTGAGGGTGATGCTGGACGAAGGAGCCGATCCGCCCTCGTTCTGGGCGTCCCTCTTGAGGATCTTGATCTGCGGCTCGGAGGCCATGCACGGGTTCCGGCACCCTTCGTCCACGATCACCACCTTCTCCGAACACCTGGATTTCGGGAACAACAAGAAAACATTCTCGGGATTATTGGAGAAATAATGCACAAAGCTTCACTGAAGTGCTGAATCACCAGTTTTTCATGTGACATTTAATGTCAAATCCACATAAGTGAAAAGGTAATTCACCAGGTAATATCTCATTTTCAAAATAGCATTGGAAATAAGGTAACTACTTATACATATCATAGGACTCCCTTTTTGTATTATAGTATACCAAGCATGGTCAAACCTCATCATAAGAAAGCCAAAGGCAGCAGAAAACAAAATTATAAGGGTGTTCTTCTATTATAACAAGGGATTCACTTACTGCAACAAACAACTTCTTGTATGTCAATTATTGGAGATAAAATGATTCCCTTGAGCCACTCAATTATATTTTTTTGCACTGGTCTCTTGGACCCAATTACATTGAGCTTTGACTAATTCCTGATTGTACACAATTTAGCTGATGAGATTAGCTATCCCAACACCCTACTGAAAAAGTGGGGCACCTTAGGGTGTACAAAGAACATTGTTCACTACTTAACATAAAATATGCCGATTGGTCCGTTGAGGTGATGGCTCTGCTCAAACGAGGTTGCATTCCATTCATTTTGGTACAAAGTCCCCTATGCACACTAAGGGAAACATCTGCCGAGCGAGGCCCGTCAGCATCAGAGGGGTAATTGGTACCAAAGTGTTCCTTTATATGTCCCAACAGGAACTCTCTATGGCACTTTAAAATTTTTCTCCATCAGAGCATGTTCAGATTCCATTTGAAAATATGTAAATCAAGATTAAAGGAAAACTTTTCACTAAATCAGCCTTGGCTAATTTTACCTGCCTCTTTGAACTTCCACCTAGTAACTTACAAGGCAATTGCTTAATTTTTCTATAAAAATCTCCAAGGAAGAATAGGGCTTCATATCCTAATTTCAATCTCAGTCCAATTTCAGGTCATGATGCAACAATAAGCCCATGAAGCAAATCAGTGAAAAATTTTCATGGTAAATGTTGGAGATGGTCCTTTGCTGGGTTCAGCAGGGTTAAACACCAGCAAATGATAGCCTGGCCTGGCCCTTTTGCTAGATAAAACATATAGTGATTCTCAATTTAATTTGTCAACCTTGGGAAGAATGCTATCTTTACTAAGGGAGACTGAATTCATTCACAAGTTATTATGTTTAAATTGAAGTCTAGGCCTAGTTCGAACTTAAGAAATGGCGGTGTCTATTGGCCGAGTCGGGAATCGCGACCTCTGACGTCTCTCCCGACTCGACGAGACTCCGGCCGGCCGACCGCACGTGGACGCGTCTTTTTGACGCGTCACGTCAAACGTTTTCACCTATTTTTGTCGTCTCGAGTTGTGGGAAATTTTTTTATGGAACGGGGGAAAATGCTCTTATATTAGCTTTTAAAATGACATTAAGGGCTCCATTCCCTGCACTTTGCTTGGAGTGAGCCCTCTGCCCTGACCGAATGAGATCCTATGCCTACGTGGGTACTCTGAGGTTGAAATTACAGAAAAATATAAAGACATTTGCAACATGAAGAAGGCCATCGCTCTAGAATTTTGCAACAGCTTTCATGTCTTTTAGGCCTATAAGGACTAAGGACTTTAGACATCCTTTCTCACATGAGAAAGCCAGCTCGGCCTAAGCTAGACGGCCGAGCTCTCTCTCATGTGATGCCATCAACCGAGGTGACGTTATGATTGGAGTCACTTCCAGCTCGGCCAATAGACACTACCTTAAAGAATACCTTGGCCTAATTAGGATTTACCCGCGATATGACTCAGACCAGGCCTAGATAAATTAATTTGGTATAGGCATATCGTAATTACGACAGTCCTAAGACCTACTTACGCCCATGGCAGTCCTAGATTACTCATAACTGGCCTCAACCCACTTAAGGCCACCCATCGACGGAAACCCTAACGTTAGCCCCGAAACACGGGCGAGCCGACGTCTCCGTCCACCGCAAAGCCCGACGCGTCTCACCCGTGGCCACCGTTGGATTCGAGATCGTCCTTGGGAATCTTGAGCTTCCGGATCTGCTTATCCAGCTGGCCCGACTCCTCCATGCGCTCCCAGTCGTCTCCGTCCTCCCCCTCCATGGCGCTCGGTGCATCCCTGCAGGCCGCCATGTTCCGCTCGTTCGTCCTGGGGCCGGCGTGCGCACGGAGAGTCGTGGGCGTGAGGATCTCGAGGCTGGGGCGAGATAAGGTTCGTGACTCCGATGCCGCCTTTGTCTGCCCACCTGATGCTTCCGAGACGGAGATATGTGGGGGGGATAGCGCGTGGGCGGACAGCCAATACAACCACAAGACTAATCAAGAGCAGCGGCGTAGTGAGGGGGGGGGGAGTCTTCCATCCCCCCAAAACTGGTTCAAGCCACCTCTGGTCTCTCTCATAACTCTGGTCTGAATGCATCCGCCGCCCCCCCCCCCCTACCCTCTCCCCGACGAGGAGAAGTAGGCCTCCTACCGTTCCGCTCAGCTCCCCCCCCCCCATTGGCGAAATCCTGACTACGCCACTGATCATGAGTCGGGTGGGTTTCTCGTCGCCGTTGACATGACAGGTGGATTAAACAGGCCAGGACCAGACCATCTAGTTTCTCGGGTCTCACTCGGGATTCCGTTGCGAGAAAAATTAACCAGGATCTTTCCTGGAGTTCTCGCTCGCGCTGTTTTTTTTTCTCGCTGCGGAGGGGAGAAATTCCGAATCCTGCTCGGATCTCCGCGTCTTTCCGTTTTCCCGTTTCTCAGAATATTCCAGGAAGGAAGTGTGGAAAACCATTTCCAAGGTTTGCGCTCTGGCTCGACCCTCGTTGCCATCCGCCGGACCTCGGTCGCTCCAAAGACAGTTTCCATGGACATTCTGCATTTCTACCTGCATTACACAGTTTGTTTTCTTTTTTTACGTGTGGCTCTTTTCGTTTTTCAATGTAGCAATTTTTTTCTTCAAAGGAAATGCAAGTCATTCCACACCCCGTAGAAAACAATAAAATTGACACTAAATTTTGAGGAGTTTAAAATTTTTTTTAATCTCTCTGGGACTCGCTTCGGAATCCGCCTGATCCAGTTTCCCAAGCATGACATCCGATTAAGTGCGACGGATTAAAGGCGTGAAAATTTGGCTTTTCGCCAATAGGGAATTCGAGACAGTCGGATTCCGGAGGGAATTTAGAAGGAATTCCAAATCTGATCTGATTTGAATTTCTCTAATTGTTGGCGTTCTTTAACTCTCCGTGGAATTCGCGTGCGTGCGTGAAAACATTTTAATCAGGATTTGGAATTGGAAATTCGCGAAGAATTTCCAATTAAATATTAAATATCCAATTAAATTAGAAGAATTTCCCTATTAATTAATTATACATAATTAACAATTACGCCTGTTACGATCAGATCCAGCAGCTCGTATGAAGCACAGCATCGATGCTGCTGAACCGAATTTCCTGCGGCCTTTTTTCTCTGGTCGCCATCGGCGGTCTTCCCAAGGAGCATCCTTTATGACACGTGACAACGTGACATGTGGAAGCGTGACACGTGACAACGTGACATGTGGAAGCGTGACACGTGAAAACGTGACATGTGGAAGCGTGACACGTGAAAACGCGACCTGAAGACGAGTATCGCCTCGCTCGTGAAAAGCCTCGACCACAGCGAAAAGTTTGCGAATCCCCCTGAAAACAAAGACGAAGACATAGATGAAGACAAGGATGGAGACCTCGAGGGCAAAATTTGATGGAACGAGACATCAACGAGATTTCAACGGGACATCAACAGTCATCACCCAGATGACCCACGAATGAAGTTTGGAGCGGTGCAGCGATCCATTGCAGCGCTTCGAGAAAGGCCAAATGCGGCTAGAGTGCACAGCGAAGTAGAAACGTACAAGGAGAGGAACATATTGTGTCCCTTCACCTGTGTGGTCCAGACGTGCACACGTGTACGTTGCAGACGCAGATGTCCGGATTGCAATGCTCAAAATCGGCATAAGATGGCGATTATGTTCCCCCAAACTTTCGAAGACGAGTCGGGACCTTAGGAGAAGAGTTTTCTTCCTATCCCCGTATTCATCTTATCATGATACTTGCAAAGCAGTATTTGGTAAAAGAATAGTCATCATGTTTCAAAGCCGATCAATGATTCTGGAAAATTTTAAACGCTGGGGTTTTGTACGGGAACAGAGAAGTATGAACCAACAGGTTACGAGTTTTTCTCTCTCTGAAGAATAAGCGCCCAACTTTAAATAAACTTGAAAGATTGTCCCTGTAAAACAGGGTGGTCTGGCAACCTACCTAACACGATAATTGGAAAAGACACTGTTGATGAGACAGTCCAGTGCGAAATGGAGACGCTGTCCGCGTGTCATCAGTGACAGCTCGCTGCCTGTCAGAGACGGGGTGCCGGATGATGGTGCCATTAAAGATCTCTTCGAAGCGGATAATTGTCATAAACAGGTTTTTAAACCCCTATGCCCGAAATGAATAGAGATGAGAAAGGTACACGTGTGTACCTTCATTGCCACGGGTACCTTTTCAACGAACGTATTTTATTTTATTTTACGACATGCGTTTGTACCTCATAACGTACAACATATGTACCTCACTGTACGTTTCTGCTTTGCTGTGTGCCCACGAACGACCCCGACGACCGAACGACGGTCATCACGAGAGGACTCAGGCGGATTCCACGACCGAGGACTGCTCGCCCGCGTGGATCTCGAACCAACATGTACGGTAGACGTGCAGCTGAATTCCGCCGTGCGGATCAGCACGCTCAAATCGGGGTCGCTGCCTTGGATGCCCGGCTTCTGCAACATCGCGCCGCCCTTTCTCATACACCCATGCATTCTTATATATGGGTGTATGAGAAAGGCACGCCCGTCACGGATCCGTCTTACATCCAGGATGCCATTCTGGATCGCAGCGAACGCACTCCGTCCATCCCGGAAGAGCAGCGGAAGAACGCCTGGAACGATGCCCAAGTTAAAGAAAACATCGCGGTTCTCGACACACAACCGACCGCGAACCGCATCCGACAGAACGATCCATCCGATCTTTAGGGAAGTGGCGGCTGTTGTCCCAAAACGTCGAATGAGGGCGCTACTTAAAAACTGCGACTTAAAAGAAATCGGCGAAACCGATGTGGTTTACGCAATTTGATATCGATCTTGATTTGCACGCTTCGGCTGGAAAAGTAAAAATGGCTGGAATATCAGCTGCATTTGTGAATTTGATGCGGCATTTCGTTAATGGAACACACGACGCGTGAACGACGAGGAAAACGTTATCAGTCCGAATACTCGACTAAGTTAAATTTCTATGGGAAGTCTCTTAACAATTCCAAAAGCTGAGTGGTTTTGAAAGGAGTACGCGTCCGCAAAGTACGGTCATCACACTCGCAGCATCAGATCCGTTAGGCAACAAAAGGGCGAAAGTACTAGTCCAAATACGAGCTTCGACTCGGAGTTAAACTGAATTACCATTGAGAATTACCATTGAGAATTACCATTGAGAATTACCATTGAGAATTACCATTGAGAATTACCATTGAGAATTACCATTGAGAATTACCATTGAGAATTACCATTGAGAATTACCATTGGCTTGAGAGGACGGCGTGAGAGGACGAAAGATCACCAGGGAACGGCCGGGAATCGAACCCGAGCCTGTTGAGTGCCCGTCAGGTGTGATACGGCTTCACCACCGAACCCAAAGACGTTCGGTTTCTCCTCTTCAGGAAATCCCGAACACGACAATAGCATTGAAATCAAATCACCCAAATGCGGGAAAGTTACGATAGAGATTCATGCCTGATATATGAACATATTTTACCGCATTCAAGGGAACGAATGAAAATTTGGAAAATATTCATTCATTGCTACATCGAAGATGGCAACACGAAATCGAGCTTTCACATCTTCATATTTTCGGTCGGTTGGGAATTTCTGGAAGAAAGGTTGAGTCTTCGAACTCCCTTCTGATGACAGGTGCACTGGAAAATTTTTGCCATTTTTAGTTTCGTGTTCTGAAGGTTCCACGGGCAAAATGGGATATCGCAAGCATTGCCGATCCAGTCGTCAAATGGCTCCAAGTCGCTCTGGGGTTTTCCCCGTCATACCAGGAAAGCCACACTCCTATCGAATAATATCGAATAACTGTTCCAAGTTCCTGAAGGCCACGATGAGAGAAAGAAGAATGCCCAATTTCTTTCGGAATGTTCTCGGAAAAGCGAGGGAGTTCGCTTTGTGAGACGGCAAGGCGATGAAAAAAAGGGAATAGGCGCTGTCGCGTCTACCGATCGGCGCAGGACGGTCTCGATCGCGAATTCAAGAACTCCATAATAACTTTTGGTGGAGGTCCTCTGCCTCTGGTATATTTCAGTCGTAACTTATGTAATGTAACAAGGCAATGAAGGTAGTTTTTGGTTATCCAAATGTTATGGTTTAAAGACCTTATCTTTAAAGGTCGTCTGCGTACAAGACACGATGGAGGCTTCTGCAAAACTTGAAAGAAAAGCAATAGGAGAAAAGAAGGAAGGCTCACACGACAAAGTCCTGCGTTTCAGACATGCATGCGATGATATCAACACTATAATACGAACTCACAGGGTGGCTAAAAGAGACGAGAATGTTTTTTTAACAAGCAATTTCTGGCTCAATAAAAGGAAAATTGCCGATTTTGAAGGGTGAGCGGGGTATCAAAGCATTCCCGAAAACACGATTTACAACATCTGAAATGCGGGATGGGTAGTACGACGTCTGAAACGCTCAAATCCGTAGTCTTCTTGCTGGTGGAACGTTCATCCCCCTGACCTACGATGGCACAAACTGAGATGGTTTATGGGGGGGGGGGGGGGGGGGGGGGGGGGGGGGGGGTCATTGTCGTTCCACCAGCAAGAAGACTACGGATTTGAGCGTTTCAGACGTCGTACTACCCATCCCGCATTTCAGATGTTGTAAATCGTGTTTTCGGGAATGCTTTGATACCCCGCTCACCCTTCAAAATCGGCGGGGGGGTGGTCATTGATCAATGGTCAAACCTCATAATTTACTTATGTTGATTGGTCGCGTAGACGTCAAAATCCCTGGTCTCCATCTGAGGAATCTGACAAAATGTGACACATAGGAGAACTTATGCCAATGGCCAATGGTGCCATTGGCGGCACCTTGTTCACTCTTCCCACCAATCGGCGCACAACATTGACATCAAAACTGGGGGCAACATTTGGGTCGCCCCTCTTCGGGCAAGGACGGCGTCACTCGCACTTTCCAGCCTCAGTTTTCAGCGTCATCGCTCTGTCTGACACGAACGAGGAGCGACGTCAGCTGTGAAATGATGATGGTCAGAGAAGGAGCAGAAGAGGCACAAAAAGAAGAATGATGATCAGATGATGCTAGTGGTTCGACACCTCTAATGGCTTAAGAGATGTCCACAATACTCGATTTGGGGGGAAAATATGTGGAATCTCTTCACAAAATCCACCATACCCATAAATTTCCAAATGTTGCCATTGGAAAAACATATGTTCTAAAAGTTTTGGGATTAAGGATGAGAGATAAACAGAATGGCAGAGACATAAGGTTGATTGCGATTAATTCGAGATGATTCACGCAACTTCGACCTATCACTCAATCTTTGAGTCAGAGTTTGCGTATTTAATAGAAAGTACATTTCTAAGACAGTAGATATGTAAAACTTCAATCAATAACACATCTATCTAATGCTTCAATTATACAATTACATGCCGGTTGGTAAACTCGACCACACGAATCAAGTTACAATCAAAGGCGCACGGCACATAACGTCAGATGGGTGAACGGTCGTGAGATCATCGGAGACACCCAGCTCCAGCAGATTGAGAGCAGAAGCTGAAATATGACCTTTTGGCGGGCTAGCGGCCGTTTACCTGATTTCGCTCAATTGCCTCAAGTTTGGTTTTTCTTTTCATTTTGGTATTTAAAGGAAACGAACTGTTTATGGGTGGCTGTTACGTTGCAAGTGCTTCAGAATTGTGTTCGCAAACATTTCTCATTCTTCAAATGAAGACAAGGCTTCAATTTAAGTTCTCTACAGGTAAGGGATATGGAGCTCCAAAATTGCTGAAGGAATTCATCAGCCTTAGGTGGGAGAACAATTGCTCAACAAGGCGACACACCCACGTTGGACAAACGTTGGGCCTGTGCTAGAAATCTACATTTGCGAAGCGGACCCAACCACGTTGGCAAGCAACGATAGTCTCTCGAACGTCTGTACTGCAGCCTCACGTTGGGCCAGCATCAGCCACCCCCGTTGGGTCAACTTTTTGGGCCAATATCAAACGCGGACAGGCGACATTGTATTCAAGCGCTTAAAAGAGGCCTGCAGGTCTAAACAAATGTTGGCTGCTGCACCATCTCCGACGTGGAGCCATATGGGATGCCCCACCAACGTGGACCCACGTTCTCCCAACCTCTTGCAAAGAGAATCAAATGCAGTGTGCTGCCTGGGGAGTCGTCTTGGTTATTGGAGAAAGTTTATTTCCTCTGAATAATCAACTTTCGGAAATGACGTATGGTTGAACTATGAAAGAATTGCAGTAGAAATTGATGATGTTAGCTGGCGTGGAAGAAATCTGATTCCAGTAGGCGTATCGTGCCGCCTCCAGTGATAAATGTGTTCTCCCGAGTGAAGACACGGCCCATGCGCCTTTGGCTGTAAATTTAGACTTAATCAACGGATATTTTTATCTACAAATGATACATATAAAGTGCCGCTGGCTTTCTAATGAAATCTTAACCTTCGTAAGTTAGCAGGTCGTTCAGAAATCTACTTTGGAAAGGTGCCTTTTCTTTTTTTTTTTTTTGAAGTACCTCCTCGATTTTCAAAACATGCGAAGTATCGTAAGAGATACAAAAGCAAAGGAAGAGGATCTGAAGACAAAAGATTCCCGTGCGAAGTCATACTGAATTAAACATAGGTAGGAGTATGTCATGAGCAAAATGTGAAATTTTCGTTTGTGCATATTCCATACACATTGTATCAGAAACTTAGTTGTCGGTTCTCCTGAAAGTCAAGGTTGTGAATAGTTGCTTCCCTTGAAATGAAAACCAGTGAAAGCTGCTGGTTGCGGTCATGAACAAAAGTCAAACTTGAAGGAATGAACAGTGACAGAGAAAAGGCGCGTATGAAACAACCCAAAAGGAATCGTAAAGGAGTGGTCAATTTGAAAAAAAAAATCGCGTAGGACTAACTACAAGAGACTTTCTCGTATGGTTGAACCGAGCTATCTGATTGGAAAGAAAGTTCTCGGAATTTCTTGAATATCCAACACAATTTTTTTTCCAGAGCATGCTAGAATGTTCTGCGTGTGTTTATAAGTAGGTCGTGTCCTTCGGCATACAACCGTATATTATTACAGCCCTGGTGCTCTCCAGCCATGAACCAGCCCTACCCTCTTACTAAGGAGCAAG